AAGATATGGTTTTTCAAAATCATTACAGTCCACATTACAACAATATTGGTACAGAGGAACGATTTCCTTGGAATCACTTTCAGAGCTGATGAATGATAAAAAACAATCACATTTAAAGCTACAGACGACAAAACTGCAGCACGCACTTAAACAGAACATTGTTGTACTGCGTTGTGTGGATGTTAATATAGTTATCGTTATAGTTATCCTACAGTTCTTGGCGTGAACAGGCCTTAAGTGCTTCTTTAGCCAAACACAGTTAAACAAAACACTTCATTATAGTAAAGCTGCTAATCTGCGAGCACACAACTGAGTACAGAAAAGAGAAAGACAGAAGGTGAATACATGTTGTCACCTGGGCTGCTAACAGCCAAGGAGAAAGAATTATATCCACATACAAACACAGTTTAATGAGCTTGAAGGCAGTAGTCTACAGTTGCCCCATAACAGCAGGACAATAGCCCAGAAACAGTGCAGGCAACTTCCCCATTATACACTCACAATGAGTGTCCGTGCCACTGTCAACATGAGACAAACGGCCCTACCCAGCCGACATCATTACAACTTTAGACTTAAAGAAAGAAAGCGGAGAGAGAAAACACAGGAAAGCATGAACAAGAGGACAGGCTCACACAATAAGAAGAGATGCTAGGCTCTAAGATAATGAGACAGAGGGAGAGTGTGGCAACGGTTCTGGGTAGGAGAGTGTTGGAAAAGAGATGAATGAAAAGAGGAGAGCAGGACAGGAGAGTGTTATTGATGAATCAGAGGTTGTTAATAAGAGGCAGACTGTGCGGACGAATGAATCACCCAGTAACAATGAAGTGCTCCAATGATCTGCAAACATCGCAACGCATACAAATATCCGTTATCAATTGCTAGTTGTCCTCCTGTCACCTAACACACACACACACACACACACACACACACATTCTTGAGCTGAAAGGATAACCTTTGCACAAACATCATATTTAGCTTGTCCGGGTGAAGAATGTATGTGTATGTGTGTGTGTGTGTGTATTCAGTCTCTGATTAGGACACTTTGCATCATTACAGTTTGCTTCAAGTTTCCTGATTAAAATCTCATTCACTATTTAAAAAAGACAAATGAACTCATAGCTCAGGCTGTGTGTGTGTGTGTAATGCTGAGTGGGCTTTTGTGATTGGTGATCGGTGGTCATTAATGTCTGTTAATCTCACCTGACACAACACTTCAGGAACATTGATGCTGATTTAATCTGTCATACAGTCAATATCATTCGACTTTAAAGTCTATCTAGATGTGCATCTCTTTATATATTTATATATAAAGATATATAATTAAATAAAAATATAATATAATATAATATAATATAATATAATATAATAAATATGGTTTTACCGCCTTCATTCCAAATTAACAACCTCTTTGCAAGCCTGCATTACTTTGTGACTGGATCACAATACAATCCAGGTTGAAATGTGCCACTCAAACTGATAAGGTCTAAGTGAAAAGATCAGGAAGTGTGCTAAAACTTAGCCACTTTTCTGTGTTGATGGCATTTTAAAAAAGATATTCAGAGTGGCAGATCCCACAAAGAGCTACACAGAAGAGAAAAAGACATTCAGCTGCAACATAAAAAAAATTAACCATATTAAATACTAGTACTTTAGATTTAATACTCAGTACTAATATTATGTTATTATATTAGTGCTATTATTTATAATTTAATTATTACTAAGTATTATATTATATAATATTAGGTTACACTTCATTTTAAGGTAAATTAAAATTGTTACGGTGTAATTATACATTTAAGTACTGAATAATATTAATTAACAACATGTACTTACTAGGGTTAGGTTTAGGATTAGGGTTTGGTTTAGGATTATTGCATGTAATTATGCTAAATTTTGTGCTAATACTATAGTAATTACATGTAACGTGTAACAAGGACACCTTAAAATAAAGTGTTATATTATTATATTATATTATATTATATTAGCTAAAATATATCTATACTTATATACACTATATTACCCCAGGACCAAAAATAAAATGTGGACCAAATCAAAATGTGCCACATTTTCTGATATAAATTTCTGATATGATGTAAAAATGTCAATTTCACCCCTTGGATTGAAAACAAGAATCATTCCTCTAAGCCACAACATCTTACCCCAACAGCTAATTATTTAATCAAGGTAAACTTTATTTAACGGTCAACCCAAAACTGTAGCCTGAGAGATATAAGACAGAATAGGACAGAATTAGACAGTAGAAATAAAATGTAAGATGATTTGAAGTTTGTGTAAAATACTCTCATTCAGAATCAGAGAAGGAAAGGGAACTACAGAAGCAGACAGCACTCCATGAAGTACGTACTAAGCAGCTCTCTCTCTAGTTTTGTGCTGACAGGCAAAAGTGTGCTTTTGAGGAGCCAACACTATATAAGTGCTCTCTCTCTCTCTGATCCTCTCCATCAAAAGGCAAGCAAAATCATCCAGTCACCGTTAGTATAACAAAAGCACAGGATGTGAGCTTTACTGCAGCAGCCCAAGCTATACATACACCCCAAACTGACAGAAAACATTTCTTACTTTACTGCGCCAAATACCACCAACCGCCACCATTTTTCATAGATGTAATTATCACTTGGCGTGAGGCACTTTGCGGCAGCAGATGCCGTGTTACGGGACTATGGTTTCCATGGTGATTACTGTGATTTACTTGGGATACATTTGTCATAAATATCCCACCGTAGTGGCGTGCACAGCTGGGCCCTAAGAAAGGATGGGACCCTCAAGAGAGTGGATTTGTGAATGACTGGATCTAGTTCAGTATTTCCCAACCTTTCCTGTCTTAGGTATCCCAAAGTCCCATCAGAAAGGCTCAACCATCCCTTCATCAGGATTATCATTAATATTATTAAAAATCACCATTATAAAATGCACGTTGCTATTTAATTTTATTTTCAGCATATTTTGTAATGATTTTAACAAGCAAAATAGAAATCCCACTATATCCCAAGTATTTCCCACAACCCGCTTAAGTATCTAAAATAACTCTTATATATGGCACTCAGTGCTGGTCCAAAATCAGCCCTAGTGAGAAAAACCCAGGTCTCACCTGTACTTCTACATAAGCAACATAAGCACAGACGCAAATATTCACAAGGCAGTTCTTCAGACTGTTATTATCTCTGTTTGAAATGCACCATGGGGAGCTCATTGTTCTGTTTTAAAAATCTGCATTTAATGTTCCTTCAGGCCATGCAAAGTATTGTACTTTGCACTAAAAAATAAAGTTTTTTTTTTTTTTTTTTTAAATTACCCATTTACTGGGTAATCCCTTCCCATCTTTTAACCAGAAAGCCAGAGGGGTCTCGAAGTCAAGTACATGCCGCGAAATCACATTTATTGAACCACAAACAAAAGCACTTTCTATACCTCATGTTTAAAATCATAAATATCATAATGATGTTTAATATCATAATTATAAATAAATAAACTTCACTTTTTCTCTTTTCTGGATTTCCCTTCTAATTTAGATTGCATACTCATGTAGCTTATACATAATATTGTGACTCATAAAGTTAAAATGCTTTGGTTAGTCAAAAGCATCAGATAAATGAAAAATGTAAACATAAATTTAGCAGTTGCCTCCTTTATCAAACTCTACTGTCCTCCGTGCTGTCAAGGGCGAAAACAGTTAATGTGCAAAATTTCCAAATGTTAATAAAAATATGCAGGGGGCAAAATGTAGTTTTATGCATAAAAACATATTTACATGAAATGCAGCTTTAGAAAGCTAACTTGACTCTACTCAATAAAGGAAAAAAGACTGCAAAATGCATAATGATCCCTCAGGAAAGATTAAGACACACAAAAACAGTTTGATGCGAGTCTGATTTTGTTATCCCATGATATGTTAAGCCACAATTCCTACATGTTATCTGCCTCTTCAATTGAATGATTTATTCAGACAGGGTAAATGTCTCATTGGGGTTAATTATGTAAACATATGACCCCCGCACAAACACACACAGAGACACTCACAAACACATGGCTTCTAGTGGTGGGTGGGGGGACAGAAGGGAGGGAAAGACTGGAACCGCTCATTGTAAATGAGACTGTGACGTTTTTATGTGCGTGTGAAGGATCGCGGTGTGTATCATGTTCGTCGGTGATCGTAAATTAACAGGTGTTGTCAAAAGCGGTACAGAGACATGCAGCGAAATGATCAGGACGATTACAAAGCGCCGTGCAGCTCTGGGTCCCAGACAACATAAACTCACTATATCGACACACGCTCTTCAGTAGAGACTAGACGATAGTCAACCTTCAAAGTCTCAAGGATCACATTCACTCATACACACTGTGATATACAGTGGAAATATCCATTCTTAAAGGGACAGTTCACCCAAAAAATTCATCATTTACTCACCCTCATGTCATTTTGAACAATGTTTCAACTGTTTTTATCCATACAGTGAAAGTCAGTTGGGTTCAAAACAACATTGAACCCCACTGACTTTTAATGTATGGATGAAAAAAGGAAGAATATTGTCCAACTACCTTCTTTTGTTTTCCACAGAAGAAAGAAAGCCATACAGAATTTGAAATTACATAAGGGTGAGTAAATGATTTGTTTTGTTTGTTGAATGTCATACCAGCAGCAACGAGAACCCAGATCGGTTTTGTTTTAATCAGTTCATACTTTCTGAACAGTCAACAATGACACTTAACTGACACTATATTTTATATGCCACCTAAACAGCCTTATTTTTGAACTCCCATGATCCCATAGGTCTTTCAAAACCAATCATTCATCAGCAAACATGCCATAACTCAAAGAGATTACTTCTTATGTCCATGTCAAACCTATTTGCTAATGCCACCCTCACTATTTGAACTCAACGGAAGTCGACAGACTTAGATTATAGCAGAACTCTGCGTATTTGAAGCAAGACAGAAGGTTTGAAGATTGGTTTTTTTAGAAGTTGTTTTGGGCAACTCACCGGGTCTTTTTTCTAGTTTTCTTCCTCGACTGCCACAAAGCCGGACTTTGGAGATGAGGATGAGGATCTGTTTCTGGCAGAGCGACTTGTTGCTCTTGGGGCAAGGCTTGCGTTTGGTGGAGATCTGTCGGTTGGCCTGGGGGTCCTTGACTTCCCTGCGCTGCCGGATCAGTGAGCTGGCGAGGGCAGCCATTTTGCTGTGCCCGGCTCACCCGTAGGGCGCAGAGGGCGTCAGTGGGCCGCCCACCTGTCCGATCACCCAGGGCCACGGAGGACAGGAGCAGGAGACAGCAGATGTTTGGAGAACAGCGGGGTCTCCCACAATAACCAAGGGGAGAATGCGTCACAACTTGGTAGGGAACAAAAAGGGGCTTGGTTTAAGAGGGGTAAGGGGGTGGGGCAAAACAGTTGTGAAGTTCACAATAAACTTTATTTGTTTCTTTGGCTATCAAAACAGTCCCTGGAATGCAGAATTCCTGGTGTTGTGATTCTGATGAACGGCAGCTGTCGTTGTTGGGATTGTTTGTTGTATTTCAGGTCTCGTTGCACAGCATACGGACTGGAAAAGTGGCAGCTGATGATCCATGGAAACGTACTGGAATTCTGGAAGATAAGTGAGCCATCACAGCACCACCATACCCTCCATCCGACTCTATCCCTGAAGCTCTGAGCCCCCAGAAGCCCTGGTCTCTCACTTCCCTTCCACCTTTTAGTGTGGGATCGATCTTCAGAAATCACCCGGATCAGAAATCATTCTGCGAGTTCAGAAAAAAGGCATAAATTGTCCAATCGCTTTATCCGCACGGCTCCACATATCAGTGAGATCCTCGTAAAACGGAGAAGATCGAGGGATGCATAAAACGAACTAAAATACAGATCCTACTGAGAAAAGGAACAATATCCTGAGACAATCTTAGAGAAACTCCATTACCTGATTCCGACTGCAAAAACACCAAAAACAAAGACAGACACACTGAGTAAAAGTCAAGAACTGGTGTCGTCAACTCTGGACTTCATGTCTGTGGATGATCAGATGGATAAGGATGAAAGGAATCGTAAGTTCTCTCCCTTCTCAGCCCTTCTGACATCCCCCTTTGCTCTCTCTCCCCAAGCTCCCGAGAGAGTGTTTGTAAATTCCAAGGGCTTCCGCAGATAGAGGTGACATTCATGAACGAGTGAGAGCGCAGGAGAGCGAAGGGGAGCACCAAGCCTCCCCAGACTCCCGTAAGGCAACCAGGCAGAGAGCACTGAGGAACTCGTAGCTCCGTGTCCTTCACACCACTTGAGAGGAGAGGTAGGAGGGAGGCACGGATGGAGGGATGAAACGAAGGAATGTTAAGGATGGATGGTGCACATATCTGTTCGTCCGGCTTCACATGCTGTGAAGGTCCCGTTTGAAGAAGGTCCTCATGAGCTGTCGGGTCTGTTCCAGCGCTCCTGTCTTCAGTTTTAGCCCAGTTTTCACTGCTTAAAGTATTCTCATCCCTGCAGGCGTGTGTAACAAGGTCTCTTCAGCAAGGCACCTCTGAATCTGTGCGAGAATGTGAGAGTTTATGTGTGTGTGTGTATGAGAGTGATTGAGAGAGTGTGTGAATGTGTGACTCTCAGTCTCTCTTTTGCTCTCCCTCCCTCCCGTCCCCGCTCACAGTGAGTTCCGGAGCCAACACTGGCAACATGCTTTGCTTTACTCCCTCGTTCTCTCTTTCCATCCCTTTGTAAACCCTCCCCTTACCTTTTTTCTGCCCTCCCTCTCTGTCACTCAGAACCCTCCTTCTTTTCCGATCACTCAAAATCCCTCCTTCTCTTCATGTCCTCACACACACCCCTCTCATTCCTCTATTCCCTCCCCCCTCTTCTGTTCTCTCTCTCTCTTTTTGTCGCTGGCTGCTGGACTGCAGCGTTAAAAAATTAAACCTGCCCCATGCTTCCTTAAAGCGACAGATGAGAGCGAGAGAGAGAGAGAGCAAAAGAGAGAGAGAGAGAAAGAGAGAGAGAGAGAAAGAGGGAGGGAGGGAGGGAGGGAGGGTGAGAGAGTCCTTATTTACACTCTGTACCACAAACATAAACACACATGCCACTTAAAGTAACAGATATGAACACAACAAAATACTGATTACAGTATTGTGAACTTACATAAATGCTACAAACACACACTAAGAGACAACTTAAAGTCTCACAGTTCTAAATAAGGCATTGAAAGACAATATTAATCTATTTTTATACATGTCTACAACAGGGGTTGGTGCCAAATTTTCATTGAAAATGCCTTTTTAAATTCCAATTCGGTTCCTGAATTAGAATTTGAATTGAACAAGCAAACAGGATGCAGAACTGCATTTTAAATGTTAACTGTAAAGTAGTAGAATTAAAATGCAACATTCACTATTATCACTTTTTTTAACTAGAAAAGCAAAACAGAAAGATACAACGATAGAACGATAGATAGATAGATAGATAGATAGACAGACAGACAGAAAACAAGATAGATAGATAGATAGATAGACAGACAGACAGACAGACAGACAGACAGACAGACAGAAAACAAGACAGACAGACAGATAGACAGACATATAGACAGACAGACATATAGACAGATAGATATACAGACAGACAGACAGACAGACAGAAAACAAGATAGATAGATAGATAGATAGATAGATAGATAGACAGACAGACAGACAGATAGATAGACATATAGACAGACATACATATAGACAGACAGACATATAGATAGACAGACATATAGACAGACAGACATATAGATAGATAGATAGATAGATAGATACATAGATGTTTTTCTTAACACTGATGTATAGCATTAAGTTAAAATGTATATTAAAAAGAAATTCTGCTTGCCACCATCAGTCTTAAATGTCCCACATCTGTCTCTCAAATGTTACCTGGAATACAAAATAAATTACTCACTTTATTTTTATGCCCCACCTCTATTACTCTCCTTTTTTCACACTCAATTCATCACATTTCCCCTCATATTCATGTCTGAGCTGATAAAAACAAAATTCATTCAACTTAGACAGAAAACCAGGAAATTGACTTGCGTCAGCAGCTTTTTACCGCTTATAAAGGACAGGAATGCTCTAAAAACACCCTTTAAAACACACGCTGTGAATACTGATTTTAATACCTCTCTCTTCCTTTTCTCCTTCTGTGCCTCAGTTCAGTGGGGAAACATTTAGCTGGCTGAGCAGCAGCAGTATGCACACAGGTTGAATGGGGCTCTGATCCCTTCACCAGCAGCCTAATTCAAATGAGTGTTATAATAAGGTTTTATAACCCACAGCAAGTTTGAATTAGTCATGGCCTGTGACGCCTCTATTTGCGTGTTGCTCTGCCGCCAGCGCACTTATTGATGCAGTGGAGGATTTTCTTTCTAGGCACAGAGTCAAAGCCATTTTAATCAGCAGAGTTATGACTATGACATCCAGTGGTGATGTTGAACAGAGACGAGTCGACTAAGACAAGCAAAACATCTGGGAAAGGACAAAGATACGCAAAGAACTGAGAGATGACCATGATGTGAACAGTAACACGCAGCCATTTCTTTATTGTCAAAACCACTAACATGATATTACCAGGTTGTCCAGTCTGACAGAGATGATTATACTCAACTGAAACCCCAGAGAACCTGAGGTGAGCGTGTTTGTCAGGTTTTTGCTTTGTATCATCATCATCATCATAATCGCAAATATCAGCCAGATTTGTCAACATTTCTATAATATCCTTAAAATAATAAAATAAAATAAAAATTTCGCTAAAAAAGGGATTAAGTTTATGGAGAGATAAATATCAACAAATATCATTAGTTCAGTACAAAAACAACAGAAATCAATAGAAAGTTACCACTGTTATTGAACAAAACAAACGTGTTTGTGTGTATGTCTGTGTGGGTCTGTACACCAAAAAGTTACTGCTGCAGTCTTTGTGATGTCTTTGAGGAAATTTTGGGTCTTACTCAAGGGTAGGGCATAACCGAACGTATTTCTTTTTTGGCAAATGTGAATGCTTTAATTTTAATAGTGCATGTCCAGTGAAGGATGGAGACTGCACTGGCAGAGAGGACAGACCTCTTCCATTTTAATCAGTCTGTTAAAACACAGCACTAAACTCCTGCTGTTATATGGACTTCATTTCATGATTACAGTATATACTGTAGACTGCAAAAAGCATTATAAAGCAGTACCACACAAACATTCATACACATTTTTTCAAGCCTCTAATTCAGTCCGATAATTTACCAATCACAGATATGCTCTGTCAAAACCTAGGGATATTCCTACTTAGCAATTTTAGACATCATATGCATGAAACTGCAGTGAGGCAGCTTTGCATGTATCTTTCATAGTGCACTGTGACAAGTTTGACAAATAATTCCCCATCAAGATGGCAAACAGAGCCGCTAGAAGTACTGCATTTAAATACATATGTTTTTATTCAGCATTAAATAGTGCTGGTATTAAATATTTCCAGCTAATAAAAAATTTAGACTGATCTAATTAGTATTTACATGTATAATGTTTATGCATTTCGGCATATTGACAGAATCTAAAACGTAAAGGTATTCATGTACACAAAGCTTGAAACAAAATAATCTTTATTTATCATTATATGAGCTCCTAACCCATTCCATTCCTTTCTCATGAAATATACCAATACATTTTAAAGAAATAGTTTAGCCAAAAATGAAAATTTGCTGAAAATTCACTTACTCTTAGATGACCTGAATCCAAGATGTAAATTCTGTCTCTTTGTTGAACAGATTTGGAGAAATGTAGCATTACATCCCTTGCTCAGCAATGGATGCTCTGCAGTGAATGGGTGCCGTCAGCATGAGAGTCCAAACAGCTGATAAAAACATCACAATAATCAATGAGTCATTCACATAACTCCAGTCCATCAATGAATGTCCTGAAAAGTGAAAAGCTGTGTGTTTGTAATAAACACATTGATTGTGAGGGGCTTTTTAAACTTTAAACTGTTGCTTACTGTAAGTTGTTCATATATGTAAAATTCTTATGTTGTAGATTCTGTCAATAATGAATTTTCAAAAATGTATGTGTGCTAGAACCACAATTTACATATGAATATCCAAGATTACTTGGAAAAATGGCATTTCCCCTAATACACATGGTTTAAAAAAATTAATTAAATGTGTGCTAGAACTTTAATTAGGAGTATCTATGATTACTAAAAATACACAGGAATAAAATAAAATGTAAATTGAACAAAATAAATTCAAAAAGTCTATGCTATTATGAAGAAAGTCTCTCCTCTCTCTTCATCTCTCTTGCTTGCTCAAACACACTAAGAGTCATCTGTATTTCTTGTAATGACTGGAACAGCTTTAAAGGTTTAAAGATCTACTTTAGACGCAGACTGTGTCTGTCAGAGAGATTACTTCTAAGTCTCAGTGGAACATGCCAAAGACCGCATCCAGGTTAATTTCTCCTCAAATGTGTTCACTGAGCAAACACTCCCTTGAGACGGTGATCACTGTGCCTAAGGAGAGACTCTCCTGATTAAGACTTTATAAGTGTGTCCTTAGCTCAGAGACACTTCCGAACAGGTCACAAACCACACACATATATATATATATATATATATATACAGAGAAACACACTCACACTATCTTCCCTGACTAAATGTAGCTTCAAGAAGACGGTATTAAGGCAGAAATATAGTTCAGGAAAGTCCAACTATTTTACTAACTGCCTGCGCTTCCAAATCCATTCCAGGCATCACCAGGCTGCTCTCTATGGGAAGAGCATCAACTGTAATCTGCTCCTTAGGGACTTGGAAGGAAAGACTGGAGGGAAAAAAACACAGGACGGAAGCGGGGAAAGAATAAGAAGGAAGACAGTGCTGGGTAGAGGTAATTAACATAATGCTTAATCTGTAAACATCTATGGGAGTGTAGAAAGACAGAGCAAGGTAGAATGAGAGGGAGGGAGAAAGTGCTGAGCCATTGAAGTCTGCAGTTTATTCTAAATGGATGACACGCATTAGGAAGGTGGAGAAAATTGAGGTGAAAGGTGAGAGAAAGAAAGAGAAAATGAAGGAAGGAAGGAGGCCTCAAGATGAATATATACACCGTTCAAAAGTTTGGGGTCATTAAAAATAATGCGTTTATTTAGCAAGCATGCATTAAACTGATCTTATGTGACAGTGAATATTTTTACAATGCTACAAAATATTTCTTTTTAAGTAGATGCTGTTTATTTGAACTTTCTATTCATCCAAAAGAATCCTGAAAACAGTCAATGCCAAATGCCAAAAATATAGTTTTCAACATTCATGATAATACGTTTCTTGGGCATCAAATCAACATATTAGAATGATTTCTGAAGGATAATGTGACGCTGAAAATTCGGCTATGCCATAACAGGAATAAATTACATTTTAAAATATATTAAAATATAGAAATATAACACTTATATTTCTGTATAAGTGTAATTGTAATACCACTTTACAATTATTACTGTTTACTGCATTTTTTATCAAATAAATTCAGGCGTTAAGAGACTTCTTAAAAAAAAAAGGCAGTGTAGATATTGAAGTCAAAAGAACTTCCTTTGTAACACTTAAGAGTGTTTGTTTTGCACGAATTGCATATATGCAGTTCTAAATGAATGTCTGAAAGAGACATGTTCATCTAAATCACAACACAAGAAGCAGCTGGTTACCTCACTCTAGTCACAATCCTTCCGGTATAAGGAGGAGATACAGCAAATTGTAGATAATGGTATAACTCAGTGGG